AAACTGGGACCAAACTGGGACCAAACGGGTCAAACTGGGACCAAACTGGGACCAAACGGGTCAAACTGGGACCAAACTGGGACTTCACCGTGCTGATTATGCATGTCCAGGTCCAGGCTCTGGCTGTCCTGCTGGAGGTTCTGGTGGACATCGTCCTGCATGTCGGGCTCAGCCAGCATCGAGCCCATCGCGTCCTGAACGCCGGAGGCCTGCAGGCCACGAGGACACGGACGTCAGTCTGGACAAAATGGCCGCCGTCCCTCCTTCAACATGGAGACTAGAAACTTCTTCACATGATCACAAATTTCAGGTTCATGTTTTTTATTTAGAAGATGAATTCAAAAAAACAGAGGAAGAAAGAAGAAACATCAGAGATCAGATCGACTAAAGTAAATCAAAGTTGATCTAAAACTGGTTCGAGTTAGTTTATAATGGGAGTACTGGTGTCTGTACTGGGAGTACTGGTGTCTGATCCGCTACCTGATCCTCCTGAGGTCTGGAGTTTGCTGAATAATCGAAGCCGAGGACGAAATCAACGGGATCAACAGTCAACCTCCGTTTGGCCTTCTTCATCTTCAGAGAGAATCATCATCATCACCAGTATTCAGGATGGAGAAACAGGAAAATATCCAGTTTGAAGCATTTTATTCAGATTTACATGTTTCTGTGGCTGTTCTATAATAATAATTATTATTATAACAATAATAATAATAATAATAATTATTATTATTATTATTATTATAACTGAGCCCCTGTTGCCTCAGTAGCAGCAATAATAACGAGGTGAAACGGTTGGTACCTGCAGGTTTGGAGAGTCGGCTGCCTCCAGGCTGAGATCCTCATATCCACCTACAGACAGACATCATGGAGTTATGAAGCTACCATAACTAATTCCTGCAGACTGAACCTGTCAGCTCTGAGCTTCACATGGAAACCTCAGATTTATTTTGTTTATTTCAGGTTTTCACAAGAGAACAAGCAAAAGGTATGACAGAGAAAAACAGGAGCATACATATCAAGAACAAAGTAATTAGTTTACTATCTTCCTGTTTGAAAGGAGCAGGAAGAAACAAACATTTAATCAGTTTCATGCAAACTAATGAAATAACTGTGATCACAGTCGGGATGTTTCCGTCTGAGCTCAAACTGGACAAACAAAATGGAGGCAGACGGACGGAACCGACCGATCAGAACCGTGTAGAAATAAACACTGATCGAACCAGGTTCTGGTCGAACTGTTGGACTGGATCAGCCTGGAAAATCATCTTAACAATGGAAAATATTAGAGGATAAACTCACTGTGGCGCTCCGGCTCGCTGCGGGTGTCAAACTCTGGGCGCTCTGGAGCACAAACAGGAAGAAACAGGCAGGAACAGGAAGTGAGGCCATGTTGGCTGTGATTAAACTCACACATAGAGTTTAATCTATGCTTTATGATGCTTTTCAGGGTCATAAAGCTCTGAAAATTATAAAAATCAGGTAAAGAAAACTATTTGTCGAAAACAACTCGAGTTAAAATCAGTGCTGCTATATTTTGCCTGATAACTGCAGTAAATATTTTGTCTAAAATATTTAATTCAGGTGACTAAAAGATGCTTTTCAGGATCATAAAGCTCTGAAATTATTAGAATCTCCTCAATAATCTGACATTTCCTGCAGTGATAAAGAGCAACATTAAGTTTTATTATCCTGACAGATCATCAGGTTAAAGAGTCATTTCTACATGAAGTCATGATAATAACAGCTGTGATTAAATGAAGCTCTGTTAGCAGGCTACGCTAACAGCAGGACTCCCTCCGAGCTCTGAGGGCCCGGCGGACCGCAGAGCAACACTCCCTGTGTGTGTGTGTGTGTGTGTGTGTAGAGTCATGCGTGTTGAATTTAATCCAGATGATCACATGAGTCACAGCATGTGATGCGGAGCCGGTTCCAGTTCTGTTAGCGTTCATGACGGTTTCATAATAATCATCATAACGCTGCATTCCTGAGAGAACATGAGAACTTTCTGCCTCCTCCTCTTCGCTCCGCTGAGCCCGGCACAAAAATCAGAGACATGTGAGGAAGATCACAAGGCCGCCGGCGCAGCCAGCGTTTCTGCTGCAGCTCGGCGCAGAGAGCCAGTCGGTGACTCAGCGTCAGCAGGAGTCTCTGCTGCTGCAGATCAAAACGCTTTCAGCTGAAGTAAACCCGGTTACTATGTTCTGAATGCAGCTTGATGAAACACAATGAGTTTCTGAAATCATTTATCGTCTTCATGAAATGTAAAACACATCATTCCTCTGAGATTAACACTGAACAAAAACACAGAGTTTCCCTCAGACTTTATTTCTACTGTTACGACATTTTCTGTTCAAACATGAACATATTTCATTTAAATGAGAAAATCTGTCACTATAAATAGATACTGAAGTTCCATTTATATCATAGTTCTGGCACTAAATTATCTCCGTACAAATAAAATCCATCTGTTCTGAAGCATCATAAAAACTATCATTCATTACCTTGTCAGTATTCTATTTATCATAATTTGTTGCTCAAAAAGTGTAATAAACACTACAAAGGCATAAATGCTACTGATATAACATAGCTTAGCTACATAGGTTAAGCTAGCTGCTGTTAGCTTTGGTGACATAGCTGCTTGTGCTAGGCTAAAGATCTTAGCTCATCTGTTCAAAGTGAAGAAAATAATTAAAACGTATACCTCTCCATATTGTTAAAAATGCTATAGCTAAATAGAGGTGAGAAAAATGATTGGCTCATACAGATGAGCTAAAAGGCTAACAGTCCTCGTCTTAGCTCAATGAGCTAAACCACAAAATCTCTGCTATCTGCTTTTAGCATTAGCTAGATGAGATGATTAAATAATTAATCTGGCCTTAATTAAATATAACTTAGTTTTTCTGTTAAAGCTGCTAAAAGGCTGTGAAAATAAAGAAACTTGGCAGAATTAGCTTCAAGCTGTAGCTAACGCTATGCTAACAGTTAGCAGCTTCGAAGCAAGCAAGCAGTACCATAGTTTAACATAAAATAATTTAGAACATTTTTTTTACAACTTTTGAGTTTTAAAATTAACATGAAATGAAGATTTTTAGTGTTTTATGTTAAGATCATGAAACAAATCCTCAAAGGATTTTGTCTTTGAGGAGAAAACAAAGTTAAACAAACAGCTTCATCTTAGACTTCAAACATGTTTTTTGCCAGAGTAATATCTGTGATTCGGGTGTCTTTAGGAGCAAACAGGAAGTGCGAAGGCCACCAGTTGGTTGTTGAGGGCAGAAAGCCTGAGAGCTGAAGAGCAGCTGTGGTGAGACGATGAGAAAAACAGGAAAAATGGAGATTAAATCCCTGTGTCACATCTGGCTTTTCCTGCTGAGTTACTGTCAGAAGACTGAATGTTTTAACCAACAGATGTGTGACAAATTAAAGGATGAAGATAAAAGCAAAGTAGTTTAATTACAGACTGACTCACTTCTAAAGTAATGAAATCTGTTGTGTGAAAATCATTTCTCCCAGTTTGCCCAGTTTGAATGAAGGAGGTTTGGTCGCATGAAGCGAAGCATTTATCCTTCCATGTTCCAACAATGAACCAAATATTTTACAAAAACAAAACAACTGTAATTAAACCTAAAAATTACAGTATTTTATTTTTTGTTCTTGTTAAAGAAATACAGATCTGTGAAAAAGCATCAACACAAAAATATCCAAACCAACCAAGTTAAATGGGAAAAATAATTCTTCATAAATCTAATAACTGTTTGCTGCACCTGCAGCAGCTGATAAGTGCAGTCTTTAACATAATTGATGCACTGAAACATTTAAGCAAAAAGTAAGAACAGAAGAAAACTTTAGGGGTGCAAATACTTTTAAGCAGCATTGAAAGTCTGTCAGCTTGAGTTCATTAACATTTATACTCAAAATAAAAGTCAAATGTCTTTGAAATCCTGACAATAATCCACAGTGGATTATTGTCGGATTATTATTGATCCATCGCTAACAAAATGTTAGCTAAGCTAATGCTAAAGTGCTACACCAACATGGTATTTAGTGGAAGCTAATGCTAACATGCTAAATTCATGTTGATACCAAGATACATCTGAACATTTGCATACTTGTTTAATGACTGGCTGTTTGTTCGTCCATTGCCTTTTGCTCAATAAAGTTTCTTAGAAGAAAAAATAAGACGTGAGGAGAGGAAATGAAGCTTCACTCCCTTCAGAATAAGAGCATGAATTAAACATCTAAGAACAGTTGAGAACCAAAACTCCTGATAGTTTATAAAACAGTCCAATAAATTAGTGCTTTAGAGTTCAGCAGAAGCTAAATGTGCAAAACGTTTTCAACGTTAGCAAAATAGTAAAGCGCTAAATGAACACTTAGCCATGCTATGAGCAGATTAGCAGAAATGCTCCCACCATTGATAATGCAGTTCACACATAAACCAGTGACTGACTGAGCTCAGTGGGAGTTCGCTTCACATTTTTTCCTTGCAGCTTCCTGACAGTTTGCAGCTGCTGACTCTCAGCGAAGCCGTTCATTTTCTGGGGATTTCTCCTGCTAAGCTCAAACAGACTTCCCTGACTCCACGTCCGAGCTTTCTGGCTGCGGCAGATTGAACTTTTGACCAGCAGCAACTCCTCAGGGCTTCCAGAGGGAGAAGTGAAACAGATGGTAATTTGTTCACGTTTCCACTGAAGGTCGTCCTAACACTCTTGTGGTTTTAAGATTAGTTTATTTCCCTCCTCATGCGGCCATCTTGGACCTGGCAGCCATTCAGCAGCCACACTGTTTAACCGCTGAGCAGTTTTAGTTAATCAGTGGGAGCTTAATGTTTTTAGAGTCAAGTGGTGTCATGTGTTTACTCACTTCATGCAGATTTTGGAACAAAGATTTTAAGCTGCTGATCTCTGGCCGAGTTAAACCAGATTAGTGGAGCTCTGACCTGTGGGGTCGCTCTGGGAGCGGCTGTGTTCCCCGCTCAGCCTCTTAAACAGAGATCGCATCACCTTGGCGCTGCCAAAGCGCTTGAATCGGGCCCGGACGTTCTCATGGTACCACTCCAACGTACCGATCCTCAGAACCCTGGAAGAAAAACCAGCATCAGAAACACCAAACCAGCATTTCTAGAAGTTTCTGGAGGAGAAGTGGAGCCATGAACTGCTGGTGCAACATTTAGAGAAAACAATAGCATGATGGTTTGCACATGGAGCTGGAAGGAACTAAATGTATTAATTTTTATGGCTGCAGAGTGAGCCGAACGCGTTACGTAAGGAGTCTCTGTTCAAACGCAGAGCCAGGATGTCAGTCATGTGCTTCATGTGCTTTTAAGTAATCCTGGGGAAACCAGGAACTCAGGACAATCACACATAAATGTCATAAAAACGCTGGACGTCAGCAGGAAGCAGAAGGAATTCATTACATTTAGGCAGTTATATCCTTCAACTGGAAACAGAGAAATAATAAGGAATATTTTTATATTCTTAAACATCCGAGTGTTTCTAAAATATATTTAAAACAACAATAAACCTCAAACACCTAGCTGACTTTAGCTTCCACTAGCTTAAGCTGTTTAACTCATAGCTAGCTAAACTGAAAAAGCTAATTTAGATGATGTTAGTATGCTGAAGCTCAATAAGTTGAAAAGAGGCTAATTGCTAATAGTAACTAGCTTATAGCTCATAATGCTAACCACATAAATCAAGTCATCTGCTGTTAGCAGCTGAACAAATTTCCTCAAAAAGAGCAGCTAAGCTAAAATCTGATAGCATTAAGCTTAAGTCCATAAGCTAAGTTACTGCTATCATGTAAATGCTATCATTGTACTTTTGGTATTTTAAATCAGATTAAATTGACCTAATATTGTTTGTATTTGTTGTTATTGTTATGGTATTGTGTTAATGTGATTTTGTGTTTGTTTAATGCAGCTACTGATGGAAATTAGCATCTTGCTAAATCTGGTGTATTTGCAGAAATATTGTACATTCATTAATATTCACTGTCCCTCAAATGAAATAAATTCAAGTTCAGCTAAGCTGTTTATCATAGCAAAGCTACATAAGCTGTGCTAAATAGCTTAGCTAACTAAACTCAGCAAACAAAGCTAACTTTTAATCTTTAATTATTCCCTAAATTAGAAAATTAAATTAGTTTTTTAGCTCAAACATCAGCATGTTTTAGTAGCTCTGTTATGTTAGCTCTGGTTTGATCTTTTTGTAGACATTTGCTCTGATGTGTAACCATGGCAACAGTGCTAGCCAACAGCTGATGATGTCATCCAGGAGACGTGACGCTGTAACATCGTCTCACTGCCTCTGATTGTACGTCTTGATGCTCAGCCTCAGGATAAACGGTTCTGGTCCTTCAGTTCAGTGGAGCCCACAGTGGGTCCTGGAGGGGTAGGGTTAGTTATCTCCCTGGTTTAACAGGTTTAGGTTAGTTATCTCCCTGGTTTAACGGGTTAAGGTTAGCTCTCTCCCTGGTTTAACAGGTTAAGGTTAGTTCTCTCCCTGGTTTAACAGGGTTAGTTCTCTCCCTGGTTTAACGGGTTAAGGTTAGCTCTCTCCCTGGTTTAACAGGTTAAGGTTAGTTCTCTCGCTGGTTTAACGGGTTAAGGTTAGTTATCTCCCTGGTTTAACAGGTTAAGGTTAGTTCTCTCCCTGGTTTAACTCACCTGGATCCAATGATGGCTCATTAGAGGAGAGCACTGACCTGATGAGAAGGTTGCTTCTACCACCAGGGAGAGAGTAAAACATGCAGGATGCCTCCAGGACCCACTTTGGACCCCACTGATCTAGTTGGTTAAAACATCTGGTAAACTGGTATGAAGTCACAGCACCAGATAATTTCCCAGTTAGAGTCTCAGCTGTGCAGCAAACAAAGGCGACAGGCATCGTCCCATAGAGAACGATTTGGGGAGACAGTAAATCATGAATGTTATATGAGCTGCAGAAATCTGCCTTGAAACAAAACTTCAGTTTGTTCTCAGCGATTTTTCCTTCCACTGAGTCCAACTGAGAAACCTGAGAAACTTTGACAATTCAGAGTCAGAAAGTTCAAGAATAACATTTGAACTCTTCCTGGTGTGTGATGGCCTGAGGAACAGGCTGGAGCCGTTTTACCTGGCCAGGTGGCAGGGCTCACACAGCCAGCCCTGATCCCTCCTGCTGAAGCGGCTGCAGGAGCGGCAGACGTGAAGCTGGCAGTCCAAACACTGACGCTTGATGTTGACCAGGAACCTGAAGGGCTGAAGGCAGCGGATGCAGTAGGACTCGGCCAGGCTGCTGCGGCTCCCCAGCAGCTCCCGCTTCGTGTCTTCTTTCTCTATTTTACTCTTCAGTTCGCTGGAAAACAACCAGGCGAAACCTTCAACAAATCCTGACGTCTCCATGTTTTCAGTCAAAACTCAGCACCTGATGTTTTAAGAACAGTTTGCTTTTGTTGGGTTGTTTGGATTAGTCATGAGCAGTCAGTATCTAAATCACAGTTTGGACAACAGCCACACTGCAGTGGCTCACTCATGATCTGATTCTTTTTCATTTGTGAAATGTCAACATTAAATAATTCAGTATTCATATGAACTTTGAAATACTTCATGAAAAAACTAAAGTCTAAAAACTAACAATAGATTCTTCTTAAAATTTTAGTTAGTATAAATGATTTAAACTCTCCTAAATTGTCTAGTTGTTTAGTTTGGATCCATGATTCTCTCAAATGAGGCCCATCTCCCTGCTGCAGGTAAGATACTGAGTGCTCAGAACTGCACCATAAAACCCTGGTGTGAAAAGTAGATTCATCTTAGTGAGTTTATTCCACAGGGACGAGTCTAGCATGATGCTAAGCTACGCTAACAGTGTCCAGCACAACTCAGCCAGGGAAAACAGAAACAGCAGTAACTCTTCCAAACTGCAGACATGAATTCAAAGTGAGTTTCCAAGCCGCTGATCGCAGCTTTTACAGCTAAGCAAACAAACTGGACGACTGCAGCACGCAGATTATTGTTTGACTTATTTTTCTAACAAAGAAGAGTTGATGAAAGGCAGAAGAAGACATTTTCTGGGAAGAAGTGGGATTATGTTGTTTTCACTCCTTCACACAATCAATCAAGTTTACAGAGAAACTGCAGAGCAGAAAACGTCCTGAAGCAAAACGTGTAGAAAAGCAGTTTATCTTTGCACCGTCCTGCAGCCGTTCTGATGACTTCACCGCCTCCAGCCCAATGTTTTCTGCTGCAGAGCTGAAAGTAAAGCGTCTGATTGGTGGAGAAGTTAAAGCCTCCCTCGGAGAGACGCTGGCTGCAGCAGAGGGGAAACTATTCAGATAACAAGCCCCAAATGTCCTGGCTGAAAAACAGAAATAAACTATTCCTGAAGGAACAGGGGAGTTTTATTGCTTATTGGAGGCTTTTGTTTGGACCATACTGGTTAGATTATGGCTCATATCACTGGGATCAGTGGGACATGGCTCAGGATTCCTCAACCCATCACACACACAGCTGCTTTGGTTTAAACTCTGCATGATTTAAAAGTAAAATTAGCAGAAAATTCTCAGTACTATTAAACTCCAAATCCCACAAATCTGGAGCGCAGGATTTGATTCCACGGTTCCAGAGCAGAGAGCAATGAAGCCACCAGGACGAGTTCAGGAGTGAATCTGGCTCCAGCTCTGGATGTCGGGACAAAACGGCCTTTAGACGTTCTGCGGTTCGTTTTAGAGAATTTAACTGACAGGTGAAATTGTCATGAGGTGGGGTTGTTGGTGGTGAGGAGAGACGCTGAGACCCAGGTTATAGTGATGATGAATATATTTAATGATGAAGATGCTCAAACAGTCCAAATCAGGCAGCACGGCAGGAACAACTAGCACGCAGCTAAGCACCGGTAGCAACTGACAACGAAGACTAAATCAACTGGAACTGACGTCGACACAGGACTTAACCAGTACAACTGGGAAGACGGACAGACAGACGCAGACTGCAAACGTTTGACAATTGACAAGGACCCGACGAGGAACACAGACAACAGGTGGGTATAAATACACACGGGGTAATTAAGGGAATGAGACACACCTGGGGAGCAATCAACGGGGAGGACAGGACAGAGACTCACAGGGAAACAGGAACACATTGAAAAACTCAAAAACACACAGAAAACCACGGATCATGACAGAAATAAACTCACTGAGTGAAAACAGCAAAGCGAACAAACTCCAGTTAGCGCTCAGATGGGTTTAGCCACCGCTAAGTAAACAGCTAGCTAAGCTAACCCTAAGCTACATATGTAGCTCTGGGCTAAACATTTAGCTTGAAGTTAAAGGTTAATTTAATATTTAACTTTGAACTAAGTATTTAGTTTGAAACTGTGAGATTAATGAATGAATGAAAAACATGGTGAAAATATGACTTTTATAAATATAAAAAAAGACTAAAAATGGCTGAATTCCTGCTGTTGATCAGGTTTAAAGCACCAGAACCGGGCAGGAAAACTGATAGCTCAGATGTCAAAGGTTTTTTTAGAACGATAAATTGTTCCAAAAAGTTACATTTCTAGTTTCCTTTGGTGAAATAATATTGAACTTCATGGTATGTGAACTAGTTTCTACTTTCAGACGTATGACCTCTGACCTGGCTCCGTTCTGCCGTTTGTGATTAACTGCAGTTTCTGCTTCGCAGCAGACCTGAGGGATCTGGGACCAGCAGCCAGACGTTTCTCTGCCTGACTGACAGTTTCACGTTTCCAGCTTCCAAACAAACCCAGACTCTCAGAAACGGCTGCAGCTCCTCCTGTTATCAGCATCAGGGCAGGTTTGATGGCTTCTGCCACAAAAACAGGAACATCTCCAACATCAGACCAGACTCTGACCTGAAACCGTTTTCATTTCATGCACAGTTCAGTGTCTTCATAAAAAATAAAGCTGTTTCAGAGTAATTGGTTTGTGATATTTTTATGACAAACACCATCAAAAAATGTTCTTCACCATTTTTAAGGCGTTCCTCATAAACGGCATTTCCTGTTTTATGTAAGTAAATGAATGAAGTTTTAACGCCGTGAGGAAATGATGGATATGAGACCAGAACTCATCGAGGTTCTGAAGATCCACCGTCTGGATGCTTTTCTGAGCCTTCCAGGCCACAGACTGTTACAAGAAGAAACGTTTTCTGTCATGACAGAAGTAAGTACACCCTTCAGCTGACAGAGGGGTCGTTTGGAGGAATGGGGTCGGATCACTGATCTGTGGTCGTTAGCATTAAATATTATAAAACCGGAGGAGCAGACTCTGCAGTGATGATGATGATGATGAGGAAGGAAATGTTAAACTTATTAAACTCTAACAGGATTTTGTCTCCAATAATTCCTCCTTTAAGCTCAGTTATGTTTCAGTCTGACAGAATCAGGTTTTACATTTATTTCAGTTTTTCAATTTAGTTAATAAACTGAACCTGATGCTTATTTTCTGATTCTGTAAACAAAAGTGAATAAACGTATTTACAACATGAACTCTGTCACTGTGGGCCGAGCAGAACCTGTTTGGTTCTGTTCAAAACAGAAAACAAAGAAAATATTTTGCCTCCTGTTGCTTTTTTGTTTCTCTCACCAAAGAAAAAGAAAAATATTTCAAACTGTGAACCAACATATTTGGTTTTTATTGCTGAGGTTTGGACAGTTTTATGTGGAAACCACATGAAGATCAGAACCGATTCAGAACCGCAGAGGAAGAAACAGCAGCAGCTTCACAGGAACAAACATTCAGATGGAAGCAAATAACTGCAGCAGAGCGCTAGCCAAGATCGCTAACAAAATGGCCGACAGTGAGGTCCTCTGCTGGCCCCGCCCCTCTGTCTATATAGGGAGGTGAATCCTGGATCCAGAATGGTTCCAGAGGTCAGGGGTCACAGAAGTGAAGATGATAATATTAGCGAAGCCCTCAGTCGTCTGGCTATTTATTAATTCTTAGGGTTAATATCTCTCAGCTTCAGGATCGTCAGATCTGCAATGAAGTTCTTCCAGACAGTCAGGAGTTTGTTTAGGGGGATTTTTGTTCATTCTTCCACACTGATATTTATGAGGTCAGACACTGATGTTAGACAGGAAGGCTTGGTTCAGGTTTCTGCTCCAATTCATTCTAAACATGTTCAGACATGTTGGAACAGGAAGTGAGCCGTCACCTTTTACCAACCCTACATGTCTTGGGTTGGTAAAAGGCTGACCACCACTGAGCCCCAAGATCCTCCCTCCACCAAACTTTCCACTTCACATGATGCGGTCAGAGAAGTCGTTTTCTCCTCAAAGAGTTGAACTTCCTGCTGACCAGATAAATGATGTGGTGCTAATCGACTCCTGTATTCGTCTCAACAGCTGCTGAAAACTAAATAACTAATTAAACTAAAATAATTAGCAATGATGGACACACGTCCACTAACCCGCTGATAGCATAGCTAATTTTATATTTAGTGGTTTTGGTAATTTTGCAGACATTTAGCACTCTTAGCTTCAACAAAAGTACATTTTTCCAGCACTAATTTTCTTGGTTGTTTTGATGAATAAAGTTTGAGTTGAAGTTTTAATTATCGACTTGAGAATTTTTTTAATTATTCAGACGTTTATATTTATGTTGTGTCTTTTATTCATTATGGAAGAATTTAGCCCTTTAGCAGGAACTTCAGCTAAATACCATGTTGTCATAACACTTTAGCGTTAGCATAGCTAATGTTTATGATTAGTGCTTTCCACCTCTGATCACTAATAATCAGAATTAATTTCTGAATTTACCCAAGCCGGTCCTCCTCTTTCCTCCGCAGGTCGAAGTCTCTCTGGACGACGTCCCACACGTGTCTGGCCTCTTCATCCGTCAGTTTGGACAAATCCAGTTTCCTGCCCACAGCGGTGGTTGGCATGGCGGCGGAGAACAAAGATGGCTGATGATGACACCTGACAGATGACAGCAGGCTGAAAATTTTTTCTTTGAGATTCAGTGAAGAAAAAGGAGATTAAGTTATTTTAACCCATTTGTGGAAGAAATGAAAACACAGAATTTAAACACCTAAAGGCTGAAATATCTGAATTTATCCAAAATTTGGACCTTAGCAGCTGGTTAAATAGGAGACTTGAGGCAGAGAAACGGAGGAGAGCCACTGGGAGTTCATTCACCAACATTTAACAGACAGCCTGCTTCACAGGCCGCAGGTCTCAGCAGCAACAACTCAATGTGGATAACATGCAGCTAACATCAGGTGGCCAACATGCAGCTAACAGCATGTGGCTAACATGCAGCTAACAGCTTGTGGCTAACATGCAGCTAACAGCTTGTGGCTAACATGCAGCTAACAGCTCGTGGCTAACATGCAGCTAACAGCTCGTGGCTAACATGCAGCTGCTACCTCGTGGGCTGTTCCAGTTAACAAACCCACCAAGTTATACATACACATTAAAAACTGACAAAAACTAAATCATCAGAATAATATATATTAGCAAACACTATTCATCTTTAAGCACCTCTAAATACACATTTGTATAAATATAAATCTAACATTGAACTTTTAAAGTGCAAAGTTTTATTGCCCCCCTTCCCTCCATAATGGTCTCTTCTGGAACCTTTAGAAGGTGCCCAGGTCCCCGGGGAACCTTTTAGCCTGAACACCAGCAGAGGAAGACAGAGGGAAGCAACACAAAGCCTTCAGACGTCTGTCAGTGCATTTCAGTCACAACATAAATATATTCTCTATTTGTTTGTTTTATCTAACAGGACATCACCAGGTCCAGCTGAGAAGACACTGAATTAAACACACGATCAATCAATAACTTCAATCTATTTGCACTTGTTTCATTTATCATCCAATACACATTTTAAATGGTTTCCAGCCAAGTAATGAAGACCGTCTTTACAGGCTCTAAAACTGAACAGAAGCTTGAGAACCAGAGGAAATCTGAGAAACAAAACTGCAAATTTAAACAAGTTGGAAGAGATGGATGGACAGACGGACGGACGAAAGGATGGATTCAGGTCTGCGTTTCACTGATTACAAACAAAAGTATCAAGAGTTTGAGGAACAGAAAGGAAAAACACCTGCGAGAAGGAGAAACTGTCAACCTGGAGGGGTCAAAGGTCATCACTAAACCATCTGAAGTCCATCAGAAAAGAAAACATTTCATCAGCTGATCACCTTCAACAGGTTCAGAGAGGAAGATCAGAGCTCCTCCTCTGACTCTGCAGGCAGCAGGTCAAAGGTCAAGACAATGAACCAGCACAGCTGCTTGGAAGGGTTCTGTCTAGAAACAAGATGGCTGCCAGACTGAGGAAGACCTCTGGGACAATTTCCTCTGGACAGACGAGACGTTGGGCCAAGATGGAGGAAACCAAACGCAGCAGAGCTGCTGTGAAGCTCGGCAGAGGCGGTGTGATGGTTTGGGATCTGGGTCCAAACGGCAGCAAATCTGAACGACTGAAACAAAGAGATTCAAGGTGTTGCAGTGGCCTAGACAAAGCCCAGCCCTCTGCCTGACTGGTAATCTGAGCAGAACCTGAATGGACCAGCGTTGCTCCACCTGCTGCTGGAGGGCGTACTTACTTTTTCACACTCTGCTCCTGCAGGATGTCTCAGATCTGCTTCATAGATGCTGAGAGATTTAGATCTAGAGCCGCCTGGTGGACTGGGTGTACTTACTTCCCTGCCTGGTGGACTGGGTGTACTTACTTCCCTGCCTGGTGGACTGGGTGTACTTACTTCCCTGCCTGGTGAACTGGGTGTACTTACTTCCCTGCCTGGTGGACTGGGTGTACTTACTTCCCTGTGGCGTCTCCATGTCCAGTTTGCAGGACTTTAATCAAATCTGGGTCATTTTGGGAAACAGACTCACATGGTTTTCTAATCTGACAGGATGAAGGCTCTCCTCCTCTTCCTCAGCAGACAGCCCATAATACTCCTGCTGGGCACAGAAACTTGATCTGATTTCAGGTGGAGCTGCTGCAGGAACATCCTGGCTTCTGATTGGTTAGCAGAGCAAACAGTTTATTATTTATTCAATAAAAAGTCACGAGAGAAAGAAAAGTTAAAACATCAGGAGACGCTTCATGTTTCAAACTGATGAAAGTTTGAAACTGTGGAGCCGAAAACTCAGAAAAACTCAGAAAAATTCACATGATTCACTAATAGAAAACCTGCTGCTGCTCCACCGACCGAGCAAAGAGACGGATTACAGTAAACCCACTGAGACACGGAGGATCATCGTACTGCAGACTCACCTGGCTTCCTCCTGCAGCTCTGATCACGTTGACAGAAACTCCTCTGGTCAGCGGAGGTCAGCAGAGGTCAGCGGAGGTCAGCGGAGGTCAGGCGGTGCGGTCGCCAGGTGAGGTCGGCCGTCGTCTGGAGGCTTCTGTCGGCTCGGCGCCGTCAGACTGGATTAAAACTCTGGGTCACATGACTGGACCCAAGCAGGCAGAGCTGGCTGCTGATTGGCTGCTGCTGACTGGGCCCGGATGGGGCCCGCTTCATCAGAACCGCTCAGAGGAACTTCAAACTGAGGATTCATTTAATCTGATTTCTGTTCTGATTCTGCTGGAAATTAAACGATTTGCTGCAAAAATCATGGAAACTGGAGCAGAACGATGGAAACCTTTGAAATGTTCATGGGACAAAAATTGGAGCTGCACCGATTGCAGATTTCTGGTCGATACCAACAATTTTGTCTGCAATTTTTCCAAATGTAACAAGAAAATTGCTGATTTGTTAGCAGTGGAGCGGCTACTGTTAGCGGCTACTGTTAGCAGCTAGCTGTTAGCAGCTAGCTGCAGGCCGACCCGGTGGGCTGCAGAGCAGGAAGATCCTACAACATCTGGACCTTCAGAACCAGCTGTGACCACCGTCCAGCTTGAGAGCAACAGGCCCAGAAACACACTGATAATGGCATCATGTCACTGACAGGTCAATAGTTCACGAATAGGACCTTCCATTAGGTCATGGGTCAGAGGTCGTGCCCTCCGCTGATCTGAATGTTCGGCTCATGAAGCCGACCTGCAGATGGTTTAGTTTTCTTTCTCTCTGTCCTAAAGTGGACCCTCCTGACCGTGACCTTTGACCCCTGTCCTGGAGATGTGGATGAACTGATTCTGGACGTGACGACTTTGCGTTTTCGTGCTCGGACCATTAGAGGCTGCAGCTTCAGCACACTGACCTGCTGTTGCCATGGTAACACTGATTTTCTGAGTTTCAACACTGAAAGGCTGAACTTTCTGATTGTAACAAAAGTTCAGATCATGAAACCCAAATGCAGAGAAAAGTTTGATCATCTCTAGATTAATATGTCCACAAAACACAAACGCATGAAATCTGTTTTTATTTCACAGAAAGTAATTTGAACATAAATCTAGTTCTGATTCTGAATCTACGACCTGAAAACTCCTGGCTGAAGCCGATAGAGCAGCTGAGGACGCGGTTACGAAACGACCAGATGACGGAAAACAAGAAACTTTCTCTCCTCTGGGCCAGAAACATCAAATGAGATGAAAGAGCAGCAGAGGCGCTCCAGTTCCTCCGGAATCCGCTTCATGTTTTCCCAGAGCTCCAGCCATGTGACCAGGAAGACCTCAGGCCTTTTCCTGTGGATTACGCAACAGGCCCCGTTTTTACACTTATCACTTCCATGTGCGCCGATCTATAGAGCTACAGAAACAGAACCAGAACCAGAACCAGAACCAGAACCCAGAACCAGAAACCAGAACCAGAAACCAGAACCAGAAACCAGAACCCAGAACCAGAAACCAGAAACAGAAATCAGAACCAGAAACCAGAACCAGAAACCAGAAACCAGAAATCAGAACCAGAAACCAGAACCAGAAATCAGAACCAGAAACCAGAAATCAGAACCAGAAACCAGAACCAGAAACCAGAACCAGAAACCAGAAATCAGAACCAGAAACCAGAACCAGAAACCTGTTACAACCTTTACTAGTTAGTTAATAGCAGTAATAAACATGCAATAAACTACTGTTTTCCTCACTTTAAAACAAACCTATTGCCACAACAGAGAGAGGTTGGGAGTGTTAGCCTAGCAGAGGGCAGCAGCGTTTGCCTAGCAGAGGGCAGCAGCGTTAGCCTAGCAGAGGGCAGCAGCGTTAGCCTAGCAGAGGGCAGCAGCGTTTGCCTAGCAGAGGGCAGCAGCGTTAGCCTAGCAGAGGGCAGCAGCGTTAGCTTTGCAGACGGCAGCAGCGATTGCTTAGCAGAGTGCCTCAGCGCTTTGTGCC